ATGAGGTATGAAGGTTTAAACGGATGATCGGTTTGGTAACACCTGCTCGTACACGGGTAATCATAGGATGAGTAGGATGAGGGGCGGGGTTGAGGTGGGGTGGATGTGGGGGAAGGTGTTTTGGAAGATAGAGAGCTTGATTGAGCAGGTGGATGGGTGGTGGTTGGTTTTGAGCAACGTGAGTAGGTCAAGATGGGTGGATGGGGTGTGGGATGGTGTTGTTGATGGTTGAGTGGGGGTGGTAGATGGTGTAGGAGTGGAGTATGGAAAAACATGAAGAGGGTGGTCATCGAAAAAGTCGAAGGAGGTGGAGGGGGAGGGCTATTGGCAAATGGAAAAGAGGTTTCGTCAAATGTAACATGACGGGACAGATAAACTTTGTCGGTGGAAGGATCAAAGCACCGATAACCCCGAAAGTTTTCCGGATATCCAAGGAAAAGACATTTAACGGATCGTGGTTGGAGTTTATGAGATTGAGTGGTAGAGATGTTAAGATAGCAAGTGCACCCGAAGGTGAGAAGATGGTCATATGATGGTTGGCGACCATAAAGAAAGAAGGTAGGAGTAGAAAAGTTAAGGCGTTTGGTAGGGAGGATGTTATGTAGGTATGTAGCGGTGTGAAGAGCTTCTACCCAAAAGGATTGGGGAAGAGAGGCATGAGTGAGAGGGGTCTGGATAATGTCATTGAGGCGACGAATCATCCGTTTTGTTGGGATGTTTGAGGGCAAGAGAAACGAAAGACAAGACAATGAGTTTGGGCAAAAGACTTAAATTCATTATTGTCAAATTCACCACCGAGATCACACTGGAAAGACTTAATGGTTTGGTTAAATTGAGTTTGGATGGTTTATGAAATTTTGTAAAATTGAGAAAGGTGTCAGATTTGTATTTGAGAGGGTAGACCCATACATAATGAATGAAATTATCTATGAGGACCATATAATATTTGTAGCCATATTTGCTTAAGACTGGAGATGTCCAAAGATCACAATGTATAATATCAAAGGGTGCATAAGTAATAGATTGTGAAACATAAAAAGATAACCAAGTATGTTTAGATAGTTGGCAAGCATTACACAAAGTTGAAGTTGTAGGTTTATTACAAGAAATTGATAATTTAGAACGAAGTAAATCTAAAACAGGAGTGTCCGGATGACCCAAGCGAGCATGCCGAAGATCGTGGGAGGATGAAAGGAGAGCAGAAGAAATGGATGGTGTCGTGAAGGGGTAAAGATCGCTCGTGCTATCATGCCGAGAAAGATGAGCTCCGGTCTTGAGGTCCTTTATAGAAAAACCAGATGGGTCAAATTCAATAGAAGCTTGATTATCGATAGTGAATTTACGAACAGATAAAAGGTTTTTAATAATGGAGGGAGTAAACAGAATATTTTTCAAGGCATATGAATAAGATTGGGTGGTGTAAGAAGAATATCCAGACCCATGAATTGGAATACTAGAACCATTTCCAACAAAAATCAAGGTTACAGGAGAAGTAGTCATGAGACTTGAGATCTTACCCTGATCAGATGTGAGATGGGTCGAGGTGCCTGAGTCCATGTACCAAGACTGATCATTGGAGTTGAGATGGACTTGTTGCATTGTTTGTGTCAAATCTGATGGACTATAGTCAGAATAACCAGCAAACTAGGGATTGGGAGCAGCAATCAGACCAGTTGGTCGCATTGGAGGTGGTCCGTTGGGCCCCTGTTGTGATGTTGGATCAACTACTAGGCTGGGTCTGAATGTGTGATTATCCCAATGACTTGTAGGCTGTGTCGGACCATGTGAGGGGTATGGACATGGCGGTGGATTCCATGGTTGTGAGTTGTTCCAATGTTGTTGATGTCATTGATTTCCTTGATTCCAATTGGTTGGCCTCGACCTCCACGACCCCGAAAACTTCTTCCACGGCCACGACCAGGTGAACCTCGATCGCGGCTGCCTGCACCTCTACCTGAGTAGTTGTTGAAGGTGGGAGTCTGACCATGTTGACCAGGTATGGAGTTTTGAGATGCTCGGTCAGCAGAAGAAGCAACAAGGACTGTGTGAGTTTGATTTTGCCTAGCTGTTTGTTGGTGTTGTTCCAGTTGCAGCATGCTACGAGCCGTCTCCCATGATGGAGAACTTTGATTGATATACGCCCCGACGGCATCAAATTCTGATGGTAACCCTCGAACCATCTGCAAAACAAGTCTTGCTTCAGTGACAGGATTGTCGACATCTTCCAGTTGGTCTACTAGATCTTTTAATTTCTGACATTAGGCTTCCATCGATGAACAGGAAGCCAAGGTGAGATTAGAAAAATCTTGTTCAAGGGCAGCGACAATTGATCCCTTATTGTTAAGAAAGTTTGTTTTTAGTTTGTTCCATGCATCTTGAGCAATAGTGTCGTTTTCCAGAATTCGAACCATGAGTTCGTCGGAAAATGTACTGTAAATCCATTGCAAGACGAGGGCATCAATTTCCATCCATTGAAGATAAGTAGGATTAGTTTCCTTTGGTGTTGGGGTGCCATCGGTATGATCAAGACCTTTGTAAGCGTTGGCATGAAGACGGAACAATTTTGTCCATGAAGAGTACGTGGCCTTGACACCATCCAGAGTTCGTATCTTGGTTTGGATGTTCGTTACAATGTATGCGGGATGCAACGTTGTGACCTTTACTTCACTAAAACTAGCATCATCTTTGCCCATGACGATGACAGAGAAGGGCTTTTGATAGATAACAGTGAAACAGATGAGACAGCGTCGTAGCTTTGGATGAAAGGGTAGCCGCTGAGTTCAGGGTTTATGGCTCTGATACCATAACCGTGAATATAGGATCTGGATCTCTCGATAGAATTGATTAACAATGCCCTATTTATATAGGGATAATTACAAACAGATCCCCAAATATAGAGGGGGTATAATAGGAAATAATATCAGAAAATATTGACAACAATACAACATTGAAACATATACGATCCTAAAATATAATCGGCTAATACCGACAACTTCTTCCCTTCTCGGTTTTGCTCTATCTTCCCCTATTCTCCTCTTCTTAATTGATTGTGTTCATGAAAAAGGGCTATGATTTTGGCCCAATGGATAAAATGATAGATTAGCTATTACCTACTGCTTCATGGGCTTTATACCAATATTTTCACTTCACCCCTTCATTTTTTCCATAATTGACAAAAAACAACCCTTAAAGTCAAAATTCTAACAATTTAAGTTTCTAACTTAAACCCTTTTAGTCCTTCACTATAATTGAACTCTTTTATGCTAAAATTTATTTCTAATTATTTTTATTAATAACTAATAATTAAGTATTGTTATTATTACATACTTTATTAAATTTAGACTCCAAAAAAGAAAATACGATAATTAATCAAATAACAAAAAATGGGATGTTACAAAGTTTAAGTGAAATTTATGTTCTAAAAAGTTTGATATGTTTGAGAATGAGAATTATATAAAACTACACTTATGCAAGAAATGGTAAAAATGACAAAGTGTATTCGCATTATGCTTAATAGTTGGCAATCATGGGAAATTTTATAAAGGTAGGATAACATAGAGATCAAGTGAAATGAGACTTAGGTAACCTTCCTGCAAGTATATTAAGTACATTAGAAGCTTTAAGTCTTAAAAATATAGAACCAAATTGATTATGTGCAATAATCTTGAAAAGTGAAAAAAATCGGACAAAATATGAGAAATTGTGCTTAACATACTCTAGACACTTTGTTATTGTAGAAATTGTGTTTAGACATACTATAGTACATATTAAAAGTAAAATGATGCAAAACATTTTGTGTTTGGGCATGGATATAAGGAAATACCAATGCAGTTTGATATTTTTTGAAAAAAATGACAAAGTAGGATACTATTGCGTGAATAGTTCATCAAAAAAGAATATAATCAATAAAGCTTGGGATTGGGAAATAATACATGGAAACCATCAAGGAACATATCCCAGGCATGATGCAAGGCTTATAAAAGCATGAAGAAATCAAAAACAAAAGTTCTAGTGCTTGGATTGGGTTTTCAAAGTATAGTACTCAGGTTTTCCTTGTAAAGGTCATACCTCAACACATGAAATCCGTTATTTCTTGGTTCCAATTTGTAGCTAAGAAAAATAAGAACAATTAGAAAGAATAATCAACTTAAATTGAGTTGAAATTAGAAAGAATAACGCAACGCATCAACATGCATTGGGCATGCACACTTCGTGTTGACCATGATGGAATCAAAGGTGGGAATCAAGATAGGTGCGATTACTAGGTGGCTTGATGCATACCATGTAGTTGAGACACATACATGAAAGTGAAAATGGTGTAGTTGAGGCATATACATGAAAGTTGAATTTGATAAGTATTACATGTTATAGTTCAAGTAAAGAAAATAATAATGTGAACATTGTTATTATGTTATTATTACTAGATTATCAAGGACGAAGATTAGATTGTCATTATTTGATTGAAACACTCAATAACCCTATATGGACTCATTCATGAGCCACAACCACGACTTGCTTGCCAACATTTTTTCCCGAAAAAAGCCCGACCAAAGCCACAGGTGCACTCTCAAGCCCCTCCACAATATCTTCAATGTAACATATCTTCCCTTCTTTTATCAATGGTATAACCATTTCCATATTCTTTGGATACAAATTAAAATGATTACTTACAATAAACCCTTTTACGAGAAGTTGTTTTGCTATTATGCATGACAAATTCCTCACACTCTCCTCTAGATTTAAGTTGTATTGCGAGATCATTCCACAAGCCGAAATTCGTCCATTACTTCGCATATTTTAAAGCACCACCTCCAACATTTTCCCACCAACATTCTCAAAGTATATATCAATTACTTGCGGAAAGTACCTAAGATTAGTTAGAAAAAGGAAAGAATTGAATATCTTACAAAACTAATCTTTATTTTTCTTGACAGCAATATTAATATTGTTTGTTCGGGCGAACCAACCTCTTGAAAGTTGCATCAAGATCTTGTTCTTCCTTAGTTAAAAGCCTCGTCAAATCCACATTTATTCTTCAACAGCTCAACCTTGAATAACATATGATTTTGAGAAATGTATGCCAATAAATCATCATATAATGGAAGATAATGCTAAAATTAACCACCTTTTCGTTGGTTCCAGCAGTTCCAACAACATAACATCCGGCCAGCTTTGCAAACTGCCCGACAAGCTGACCCACTGCCCCAGAAGCTGCGGAAACAAAGACATACTCTCCTTTCTTTGGAGCACAAATCTCATAGAAACCATAATAAGCAGTCATACCAGGCATACCTACAAACCATCAAAGGAATAAAAATCATTTTAGAGAATCTTAATTAAAGCTCTTTATATGAATTTCATATTGGACTAAGAACATTAATTTTAAACAGAAAACATACTAAGAATTCCTGTGTAATAGGAAAGAGGGACATCCGTATGTTGAATCTTGAATAGGGTACGAGGAGCACTAATTTCAAGGTCACCTTTCTTGAAGTATGAATGTCCAGCATCCACCACTTTAGCAACTCCGAGTCCTGCTATAGGCTGTAACATTGAAAACAAAAGCCAAATTATAGAATTTAATTTGTCTAAGTTAACTGGAAACATGTTCCTGAAAACTGATAATTACTTGGCATTAAAAGTGATAACTTTATTGGTTGTTGTAATGAGTCGCTACATGCAAAAGATTGGGTGTTCCAATTCAAATTTTACACTTGAAATATAAGAAAGATAAGATACCCCATTTCAAATTCGAATAGAAAAGTACAACCCTGAATACAAATCGTTCAATAAACGAGAGTGTAATTCATATCGAACCAGGAGTGAAGGAATCAACGTAACTTCCTTGAGGTTTGTTCATCCGACGACGCAAGTAAGGATCACATGAGAGATAAAGGTTCTTAACGAGGACGGAGAGGTAGAAGCTTGTGGGAGCTTGAGGTGGATGATGGCGGAAGATTTAACGAGCATGCATGTCTGATTCCTTGAGGACGCCATTAATGTAGTCCTTCAATATCACCTGCTGATTTCTCACTTCTTCCATTTGTGATTTGCATGCTAAACAAGGACTAATTGCACACATTTATTGGCGTCCGATTGTTGACCAAATATATATACATATTACACAGTAATACATAAAAAAAAAAAAGCTAATAGGACATCTGTACATGTATCGGGAGTACCACAGGTAGAGTGATGCCTTTTAGACTTGAATTTAACTTGTAAATAATAAAATGGTAATCTATTATCCCGCTCCCATCTTGATTAATATGTTAAAAATTAATAGTTCATATATTAAAAAAAAGTAATACAACAACAATATTATCTATGTTCCAAATAAGGTAAATGGAGGTAGTATGATCGCAACCCATATCCTAGAATAATAAAAAAAAATGTCTGCATAGGAGACCTCAAACAAAATAAAAAGACAAATACAAATAAGTATAAAAAATATAAGAATTTCATAATCATATCCATCCTGAGTGATCTGCATAAAGGTTCATACATACAAAACTATAGATGAGTAAAAAGGTGGTGTACCGTAGGAGAAAAGAAACGGAAAGAAAACAATAAATCTACACATAAAAAGAAGTGAATGTGAACAATAAAACATGCATTAATGCTCTCGTAGAAACGAATAACCAAATAAACGTTTAGCATATGGTAGCTACCATGTGCGGTGCTTTGTGGGTGAGGAGGACCCCGTGCTTTGAAAATCTTATAAATATGTTTTTTCGAAACATTTTTTAATATCATGACTAGAGTAGGACTGTGAATGAACCGAACGAATACAAACGAGAGTTTTTTATGTTCGATTGTTTAAGTTATCCGAACAAACGAACGAATAAACGAACGAGTTTTCTTATTCATATTTGTTCGTTTAACAAATTACATTGTTTATGTTCGTTCGTTTATATTCGTGAACATGCTAAACGAACATAAACATATATAAATGAACATAACCAAACATATAATATATGAACATAAAAAGATATTAAATAAACGAACATAAATAAACGTAAACGAACAACATAAACAAATGTTCACAAACATAATTGAACGAACAAGATCATTGTACACGTTCGTTCATTTAACTAAACAAATGAGAATTTGTGTTCATGTTTGTTCATTTATTAAATAAATGAACATAAATGAACTGCCCCTTGGCCCCGCAAGGGGGCGCAACCCCTTGATCCCCGCCATTTGGTCGAACCAAGATCAAACTCATTTTATTCAAGCGTGTACTCTGCACCTCCTAACTTGTCTAGAATCGAGAATTAAGCTCCAATGGTAATCCATAAATTCCATTATACTAAAATGAACCCGCTAACACTAAAATCACCAACACACGTTACCTCTAAACGCCACCTTCGTGGGGTCCCATGGGTAATATATATTTTTTGGCACAAAACTACTAGAATTATGTGTCTCGGTAGGCTTCTATCAGGAGAACCAAATCTTTTTAATGATAAAAACTGACATGAGTATTACATATTTTCACTTACGGATGTCAAAAGAGCATGAAAGTTGATGCTTAGAATTGAACATGAAATATCACTTACAAAATTTCACCTCAAACTGTTAGGACCTGCTAAGTTTTCATTATTCATAAAATTTTCACCTCTCAATGTCAAAACAAACATACGATTTCTTATTGTTCATAACATTTCTATATCTTATTTTAAGAAAAACATATATATGATACATCAGGTTTCTTATTAGTAACAAATTTTCACATCATATCATTAGAACAAACATACTATATACACACAATTTATTACTATTAATAAAACTTTAACTTCTTCATGTTAGGATAATCATGCAAGATCTTATTATTCACAGAATTAAATTTTCAGTCTTATGGAGGTAGGAGTGGTTCCTATTGGATTAAGGTGTCTAAGCTCATAACTAAATTGATATATTCTTGTAATTAGAAGCAACGTCCTTTTTGGGTTGTCCTCATGACCAAAAATAGTTAGAAATGATATTATGATAGAGAAGTATAATTTATTAGATTATTATATGATTAATAAACTAATTAAAAATTATGGGAAAATGATTCGTTAAAATATTAATGTGATTAATAAATTAATATGAAATCAATTGTTGATTTATTATGTGATTAATAAATTTGTTGATTTTCAATTGAAAAGTATAATTTGTTGATTTATTATGTGATTAATAAATTAATATGAAATCAATTGTTAAATAATTAATTTGTTAATTTATATGATTAATAAATTAATGTGAAATCAATTGGAATTGATTAATTATTAATCAGAATTAATTTGGAATTAATTCGGGATTAATTGGAATTAATTGAAGATGCAAAGGGCTGAAATTTGATTGTTCAATAATTAAACAAAAGAAGCAATTCTAGAACCCTCCATGGTATGGACGGCTTTGGAGGGTTTCCTAAGGTTTCTGGAAACCTCCTGGTTGAATATAAGAAAATGATTTGAATTGGGATTAAATCTATTATTTAATCAATTCAAATCTTACTTTTCCTGCAAGTTACCTAAACTATAAATAGGACCCTTTGGCTTGCAAATCTCGTTCACCACATCACCTATAAACATAGAAACGAAATTTACCTCATATCGCATCTCTAATCCTCATTCTAGGGTTTCTGTTTTTGGGTGTAAGCCATTAGAGACATCATCCTTTTGGTGCTAGCTTTCCAAGACTAACAAACACAAGGGATTGAAATGATTTGTTTACTACAACAAATCAAAGGTATGTAACCCTAATCCTATGTATATTTCGATTATAATAGGTTTCCCTTAGGGTTCTTGATGTTCATATTTTATTGCTATCAATTAGAGAAAACAAAGATCCAAAGTAGGTTGCACGTGAACTTAAGGGTTAAAATTTCCGCTTTACATGTTTTAGTAACTTATATAAAACCCAACAGTTCCCTCCCAACCCACTCAACCAACTATTACATAAGCTTCACAACAACTTTTCTTGCTCCTATTTCTTTTATCTTTCCTAAAACCAGCCACTCTGACTCCGACATCCTTTACCTTTAGGACAAACATACATGAAAATTTCACCCTTAATGTCGGGATAGACATACTTTCTAACTATTCATAGAAATTTCACTTTTTTTGTAACGCCCCGTTCTAAGAGTAATTATTCATGGATCCCCGAGATCAAGAGTAAGGGCGTTTCGGTCTTTTATGGGCAATGGGTTTTATTCGAGAAGGTATCGGGTCGGGGTGTGTTGCTAGAAGCGTAGGGCTTCTCGCCACCTTTTCGTGGATATAAAGTTCGTCGGAA